TGATGTTTATCTGCTTACCCCCAGGGCATCCAAGATGTAGGTGACTTTGTTTCTTCAGTAGAACACAAACGAAGATTTTTAACACAAACCGTTGCAGTCTGTCAGTCTTATAATGGAAGTGAATGGGAATCACGGCTTTGAGAGTCAAAAAAACATACACAAACAAAACCAAATGAAACCCTGTGGCTTGTGATGATACATTGATGTGTAAAGACACGAAACGATCGGTCTGTGCAAGAAACTGAACAGTATTTATATCGTTTTTTACCTCTGATTCACCGCAATGTCCGAACTGTCCTGAGCCGGTGCGTGACGCGTCTTCTTCTTCTTCTTGCTTTACGGCGTATCGCAGCCTTATAAGTGCATTACCGCCACCTATTTCTCAAATGGACCATTGACACTCTTATCTACAATCTCAATTAGGAGTGTCAATGGTCCATTTGAGAGATAGGTGGCGGTAATGCACTTATAAGTCTGCGATACGCCGTAAAGCAAGAAGAAGAAGAAGACGTGTCACACACCGGCTGTTGAGAACACGCTCCGGACAGTTCGGACATTGCGGTGAATCAGAGGTAAAAAACGATACCCTGGGGGTAAGCAGATAAACATCAAATTTTCATTTTTGGGTGAACTATCCCTTTAAAGTGGAGCTCAAATCCCTGTTCCTTAAAACAAATGCTCATTCTGTCCTTCTCATCTACAAACAACCCAACAGAAGCTTCTCTCGCAAGGCATAACAGGACTAAAAAAAAAGACAAATTTATCAGACGAAACTTAAAATCTGAAATGATAGTATACATCAGTCACACCTGTAAACCCGATTAACCTGCCTCGACTCAAGACTGGACGGTTCCTCTAAATGACTTTAATCTCAGCCCAAGTGTGGTCTTAAACGCAGGGTGCACCATCGTGAGGCTTCCCACCTGGCAGTATGTGACTGCGTGTGCTGATGTGTTTAAAGCATTGCGAAGTTCTCAGGAGTGCAGTTCAGATGGGTGGAGGTGCTGCTTCCTCCGGGAGATTTCAAACCCTTTGTTGTGGCTCCTACCAGGGTGTCTGCGTGGACATCGTCTCCGATCATGATGCCAGGTCCGTGCGAGAGATTCCGCTGGAGGCCGGCCAACATGGTCTCGGTGGTGACGGTGCCGAACTCGTAGGTGAAAGTCCCGTAGAACACGAGGATGACTACAGTGAAGACCCACTCACAGATGGCCGCTGCATGTTGTAAAACAAAGCTCTCATGGATGAAGAATATCCCACCTGAGAGGAACCATCAAGGATTCAAACGTTTTCAAAAATGAAAGCTTACAAGGCACAGCAGCCCAGTTCACTCAAAAATTAAAATTCTGTCGTCATTTATTCACTCTCAAGTTGTTCCAAACCTGCATGAGTTCTTTCTAGTTTGAAGAATGTGGGTAAGCAAACAGTTGCTGGTCTCCATTCTACAGTAAGGCTATTGAAGTCAATAAAGGTTTCACACCAGGTTAGAACTAGCCACCAGTCCCAAGAACTTAATTTTCTCCTAGGGCAATTTTCCTGGTTGCACCATTCTACAACATCAACAACTGGAGAATGGATGACAGAGAAGTGGCTGGACTTCGGAGTCGGTTTATCTATCACTGTTTTCCATGTTTGTAAAGTAAGTATGAGGCTGCTTTCCAGTCCATTTTTTTATGCCCTTCACTCGCTAACTTCCCTCCATCTCGTTTACTCGGTATGTCATTGATTATGTTTCATGAGTGCCCACTACTGAACCCTTGGAATGGGCTGAATCGGAACGTCCTAAGCCCTTGATCACTTAGAATCCGCTATGGAGTTGGTTTATTGTTTACATTTTTCCCCTTACATATTTGTTTGGTGCAGCATTCTATATGTATATAGGTATGCTTGGGCTGTTATATATATTTATATATTATAGAGTTGTTTGGGGTGGGGGATAAATTAAACGCAATCTGCGATGACGTCATAATCGTGTTGCATTGCGGTCTATAGAGTGGCCTGAAGTGTGCATATGAAGCACACTCGCTTCCTCAGTCAAAATCGAGGGGTCGAGGGTCTGTCTGTCCATATAAACTTCCCTCGTTCACGAAGTGGAACGCCCTTCAAAATGGCAGTGGGGATTCCCCCAAGGGGAAGTGCTTAGGGAAGTTCGCGAGTGCGTGTCTAAAAGTGGAACCACTGATCTATAATAGAGAAAAGAAAAAGTAATTTATATAGATCAGTGAGTAGAACGCAGCGTTTACACAGCTCTTTCAAAATGGCCAGTGTCAGCATTTGCCAGTATGGCATGCATTCAGTCAATCAGTGTACACTTATGCTACATGGTAGCTCCTCCTGAGTTGGTCTGAAGTAGGAGCTAATTTATTCCCCCCAAAATCTGTTCCTAAATCTAACATCATTCCCAGGTCCCGAGGTGCGAACACGCCAAAAAACGTGTACTTCCACCAATAGTTATAATAACTATGTAACGTTCTTCTGTGCAAAAGCTCCTAATAAGGACTTGGTTACCAAGGTTTGGAACAACTTGAGGGTTAGTTAATGATGACAGAATTTTCATTTTTGGGCGAACTATCCCTTTAACTTACTTAAAGCCATGGATTATTTATATGGAGATACTGGTTAATTAGCTGCTCTCATAGTTACATCACCCAGCAACCCTTTAGCCACCCCCTTTTCCTCCGGTTGGGAAAAAAAACTATTCATAAATCATTGATGAACACAGCAGCGATAAAGCAGGAAGGCCGGGAGACTCCAGCTGGGCTCATCCGTCTCCTCAGCAACATTTACACCAAAGTAATTAGATTATACCTCCACTATTATATGAGTCAGGGGCTTCATGATCGTGACCAGAACCTCAGCAGGAAGAGAAACAGATAAAAGCTCAGTACTACACCTTACCTTGCACTGATTTTGTCTTGCTTTTTTATTTAAACAGCTGGTGCTAAATGGGATAGTTCACCAAAAATGGCAATTCGTCATCATTTACGTATCATGTCGTTAAATCCTGTAGAACTTACATGAAGAACATAAAAGGTGTATTTTTAAATAACGTTGTTCTTTCGAGTATCATAGAGTATCATAAAACCACTCCATACAAACCGTGCACATACTGTAAGTCTTCTGGAACTCGAATTTAAAGTAGTAACAGATCTTGGCTTCCATATTGTGACGTACATCCAAGTGCAATGGATTATCAGATTTTGTTCTTTTGTTTGGATATTTTCAATTAATCTGCTGATCCATTTAATAAAACTAAACTCTTAATTCGACTGATCTGGTTCTTGAGTCACTGACTCAATGATTAGGTCACAGATGTAAATATCTCACTAGAAAAACATATCATCAGTATCACTTCATATTGGTATGTTCCTCAAACAAAGCTATTGTATGGCTTTAAACATATTGCATAAGTCATATAGATGCATTTGTGTCCTTTTTGAATCTTAATGGAATAGTTCACCAAAAATGAAAATTCTGTCATCATTTACTCAACTTTATGTTGTTCCAAACTGTTCTTTCTTTCTTCATTGGAATAGAAAAGAAGATACTGATACCCAAACAGTTTTTGTTGCCATTAACGTCCATTATATGGAGCACAAAAAAAAAGTTTTTGGTGAACTATCCCTTTTAAAAGCCTAAAGGGAAAATAGAGAAACCAGTACAATTCCTCAGAAGAAAGAATGTCATTCAGTTTGGAATGACATGAGGATAAAGAAGTTTTAATTTATCCTTTAAATTGCACACAGGTGATATTATCTAAATAAACAAGACAAATAAGCAATTCATATCAAGAAAAATTGTAAACACACACTTATTCTTCATTTTACAGTCATACTAAACAAGGAAGGATACTGAGAACCAGTGCGATGAGAGCACCAGTAGCCAGTGCCACACGCACGTGAGCCATCCAGTAGTCCAGAGCTGTGACAGCCACCCGGTAGGTCAGCAAACATTGCAAACACACGAACAGAATGCCTGCTGGGAAGGCGGCGCCCGCACCTACATAGTGAAGTGTTTTAGCGTGGTCCACCTAGTCGAAAAGCAGTAGAGTGCTATTCAAGTAATAATAAATCGAAGCATTGAAAAACAAAACAAGTACTTTTGAAACATGATGACAGACACTGTGTTGGACTTAATATTTCAATTATGACTTTTATTTTGATATTAATTTTGGGCTGTGAATTGAATTTCTAGTGGGTTAGTCTGGTGTCACTTAATTCTAGTGACATCTAACCTAGAAAAAGTGGACTGAAAAACACTACAAACTTTGTCTTCCTACAACAAGAAACTTGCCTATTGTACACTCAGCATACGGGGATGGAAGTGCTATTAAGGATGAGGGAGTAAAATGCCCTCTAAAATCCATTCTGAAGAATGAGATGGCTGCATGAATGGATCAATACTAATCACTTTGAGAACATCAGCCTCTCTGAAACGCTCTGATGTTGATCAACGCATCAGTCTGATGCACTGAATTTATGGCCGGTGAAAAAACTAAGGGTGAAGCTTCAGCCCTTAATATCTTCTCATGCAGCACTAACAGATGCCCAAATGCTTGTTACCATTTTTGGTTTCAGTGATGTGAATGGTGAGTGGGGCAGTCTACTATGAGCTACTATGAGATGTGTTTATCAGATGATAATCATACATGGAACTAGGGCTGCACGATAAATCGAAATGGAATCGAGATCGCGATTCGACAGAAGCTGCAATTGTCATGCGTATCTTTCAGTGAAGCACGGTTCTGTGATCAGCAGTAAATCTCCATCCAAAGGCCAGAGGGCGCTCTCGTGCTGAAACTCCAAATACGCCTCGCAGAAGAAACCCAGAAAATG